GAAGGCCGGAAGCAATGGAGACTGGATTTGAGAGTGGAGAACCGATGGAGACGGGAGAGTGGAGAAGAAATGATCAGATTTTGCTTCTGCGATGGAGAAAGTGGAAAAAAAAAAAAAAAAAAATCGAAGTTGCAGGTTGCAGGCTTGCGGCGTCCGGTGGGGAAGAATCCGCCCGGCGAGTTTACCGGGTCTACCGGGTCTACCGGGTGGGACGATTTTCCCGGGTTTGGACGGTCCAACCGTCTAAACGGGCCTGGGTGTTCACCCAGCCCGTTTTACCCACCGGGTGACGGTTGGACCGGTTGAACCGACCGGTCCGGTCCGGTTCTTAAAACACTGCTAAAAACAGTAATATTACCTCTCTTTAAATGCCAAAACTTCAGGAATATCATAGTTATTTATAAAGATCTTAGTATTGAACATGATGTTGAAAATCTCCATTACACCTAAATAAACCATCAAAAAAATTATATAAAACTTCGAAAATAAAATCTAAAAAAAATACTAAAATTAATAATTAAAAACGTAAGAGTAAAACCTCTCCATGATTTCATCTTTGCAAATTGAATAACGAAAATAACAGATTCATTGGAGCTTTTGTCAATAACTGAACACATCTCAATATCAATAGCAAAATTTTCCCAAAGAGTACAACGAAACTTATTACCACTGTTTGAAAGAAAAAAAAATAAATTGAAAGAAATACAATGAGAAATTAATAAAAAAGCAGACATTCAAATGAAAAATATCTTAACTCATCAAGTTCAAATGAAATCATATTTAATGAAAAACCATTTTTTGTCACTTCCTTCCGTTCAATTACCGCTGACAACAACCCAATAACATCTGCAAAAAAAAGTAAATCATTTAATGTAAAAACCAAATTAAACCTACAATTTAATTGAATAAATTAAGACAAAAATATAATGAAATTATTTTATAATAAATATACCAACTAAAAAAACATTTTCTTGAGTTTAATTTAAATCTTATCAAACTCAATGAAAGAAAATGCATAATTAGGGATATTGGAATCATTAAGCAAACTATGAGCAGTTCTAGGATTAAAAACAATCTTATATTTATGTGTGATTGGCTTATAATGATCTTCATTCAAAAAAACACCAAAATTTGAAATTATATAAACTTCTCCTTCAGTTAAAGTATCCTTAGAACGCAAAGAAACCCTAAGAGTTGCTTGAATCCTCCCCTCTGAACAAAACATAAAAAAGTGTTACAAGTAAAAGATATGAAAGCGAACTTTAGAATACTTGCTGAAAAACCAAATTCAAGAACACAAAATTCTTACCTGTTCATCCAAAACAAGCATTTCAATATTATCACCCAATTTTAACTGTCGAAAATTCTTTTGCTTCCAAAGTCTGATTACTCTAACCTTTATCCTCCATTGCTCTTTAGAAGGATTAAGATCCTTAATAAAATCAAACATATTAGCCATCAGAATCTATATAATCTATATATTCTTTCTCTGATACTTAAAAAAAAAAGACTGATATAGCATTATATATGCATGGAGAAGAGATCCTTCAAATAACTAATATTTATTGGACAGATTATCAAAAAGAATTGAAAAAATAAAGTCCACAGAATTAGAAATAGAAATTAAAATCAGCAAATGAATGTAAATTTTCATTGCATTGGAAATATAAAACAATAAATAGTGAAATGTATCATATTAAAGATTGGAATGCAATAGACTATAAATAGACTACATAAAAAAATTCAATAATAAATATGAACATTTCAAATTTAATAAATAAGTAACAAAAAAAACCCATCACCTAATAGTTAAAAATAATTTCTTCATGCACCACATATTTATCATTTTAATAAAA